AAATAAATATACAGTAGATTGATTAAATTCATAGCTAGTGGAGAACTCAATGAAGTATGGTTGTACATGCATTAGTAGAGTTGGGTTCTAAGTAGCCAATGTCTGCCCAGACTATAACTGCTACCAGCAAATATTTTGGGCAAGTGAGAAATAAACAAAACCAAAATGCAACAGCATTTTTAAAAGTCAGGCAATAACTTTTTTTTTTTTTTAGTTTAATGATCCATAACTGGTTATTAGAAACCCCAAGGCCAGAGATCAGATAATGATCTATTATCCAGAAATATACTCTGATGAGTCAAAGAACAGAGGCAGCTAAGAGAAGCCCCTAGAAAGATACAAAGACTGAGCTTGTAACCCAGATGTCTCCATTTGTCACTTGTCTAATGTCACTAAGTTGTGTCTAGATTGCTTTCTCTCATGTGTGCTTCTCAAGGACAAGTTCAGAAGTACAGCAAGAACCATCCTCCCTTAAGTAAAATCTAAAAATTCAGAATGAAGTTGAGGAAAGTATTGAAGCGGAAAACAAGGACAGCTGAGATTTAGATGCAGAAAGGGTTTTGATTAGTACAAGGAGCAGCCAGCAGCTATGTGTGTCATTCTGGTTAGTAAAATTTGCCGGGCTTATTTTCCTTACCTGAAGACACATAGGCTCTTTCAGTTGAGGCTGGCATGCCAGTGATGATCTCTGCAAAAAACAAAAGGTGATAGGATATTATGACGTACGATCAGGAGGCTGGGAGCTGGCACCACAGCCTGCCTTCACACTAAAAATGAGTGTAAAGGAAGGAAGTATCGCAAGGGAGTGATGGAAGTCCAGGCGTTAGCCATACGGAGAGTGAGAAATGCTAAAAGAGACCGTGCAAACAAACATTTCTTTCCTGGGCAAAGAGCGTGAGCTCAACTGTGCTAGAATAATTAGGAAGAATTCACTGCTGCCACTCAGCTCAGTGAGCGAGAATCTACGACAAAGAGACAGCGAGCTCCTCAGAAAGAAAAGTATTAATAAGGGAACCAAGAAAGTCGAAGCCATAGGATCACAAAGCTGTCGTCAGAATTTTTTAAGTGATAGATCTTTGGAAAATTAAATTTTTTGTTCAAAAATAAAAGCGAGCAATGTTTCTAGTTGGGATTGGTGCAACACATCAAGTACTGGCATGGAACTCTAATTAACTTGTCAATGGTAAACAAGATAATTGCCTGATCATGAGATAGGCATGTCAGTTACTCAGGGATCAGGGCAGGGCATAAGATAAATAGGAACTCCTCCCCGAAAGAAATGAAAGATGAATCCACACACTGTGGACTGTCATTACCATGAGAATTGTGATGGTTTTATTCAAACTTTGAACTTGCTTTCTCACTGCCTTTATGATGGAATACAGGGTCTAACTAATTCTGTATTCAGCCCTCCTGAAAAGAGCTTCAGTGTGTTAGAATCTGATATTTTCAGTAAGGCACAGTTTTAAGAAGCCTATAAGAAGACATAGAGAAGCGATGATGGCTATCATTCAAATTTTATCGTATCTATAAGTCTTATCAAATGACTTAATAGTGCACACTCCCTAACCAGGATAAAAAGATGATTTAAACCTATTGTGATACTATCTACTGTACGAAAATTACTAGATCTAACTGAAAATCCTAACCAAGTCATATATGACTTATTTTAATGTTTGAATTGATACTCTGTTAATCATGAAGTTAGAAATGTTCATTATCAATGTAATCATCTTTAACACATTGACTCCCACACTAGAAAAAAAAATAAATTTCCCTGGGGCCCTGGTGTTTTATTAAAACAAAATGATCCTTTCTAATTGGTTATTTTGTGCTGTTTTCTTTGCATGAGTTATATGCAACCCAATCCACATTTTTAGAATTAAATTGTCAATATGAATTGTAACATTAAGAACCTCAGCAAGCAAGAATTTCACAAAGGAACTGCAGGGTTTTGCTTCCCACGGCCCTGGGCTCAAAACTAGCCTGAGTTAAAAACAACTCACACAGCAGTCAATGTGTTAAATATATATGACCATTTAGGGTTTCCATGATTGGACTAGTCTAGTAGGTAAGAGGAATTAATCAAAGTGGCAATATTTCTTCAACTTCTGAAACTTCTCTAGAGACAAAAGGTTTTGTGGAATTGAAAGGGAAAAAAAAAAGATGTCATGTGAGATTGATCAGGGATGTTTCAGAGTAAGTATGAGGTTAAATATGAATCTATAAAGATCAGAAATATACCTTTAGTAAAACCAAATGTGTCTTTCTGGTGCAAATTAAATGTGCATAATCCTCCCTGACCTAGGATTAGGAGGACAAACCATTCAAGGAGTAAGATTGTCCTCAAGACATCAGAGTTGGCTACACCAGCCCTTACACTCACTACAAATGGGACAAAGTGAGAGAAATTAGTACATGAGGGTGTATGGTATACCTGGGACTTCCTCAAGCAGCAGACACCAAAGGGGATATTGTGAGCTGGTGATACGGTGACAACCGTTTCTGAAGCAGCTACAACGAGCTTTCTTGATTCGGGCTATAGAAAATGAAATTGTTCTTCTTTGGGAAAATTTAATCTGATAGAAATTTTTTATCAAAGATTCACCGTTGTTTGTCCTCTAGGAATACCTAGAAGAAGATGAATGTTTCCAAACAAAGGACCCACATTAAGGGAGATGATGCCTCATTCTGCCCTTCAGGACTCACCAATGACATTATGACCAGATTGAAGTCATAAACTCGAGGTACACAAGAGCTGGGCAAGAGTCCCAAGCCCAACTCGGATATCGAGACTCTTTTCATATTTATTTTTGACAAACTAAGTAGTTGCCCACCGTGACCTTCCAAGAAAAAAAAAAAAAAACAGAGCTTTTCTATCTCTGGCAGAAAAGACCTCTGATTAGAGGAAAGGTTAACTGTAACATTTCCTTTTTTAATTGAATGTTACATTAAAATACCAGAACAGGAGGTTACTACAAAGATGCATCTATACAGAGACAACTTAAAATAACCTCCCTTCCTAAAATTAGGTATTTATCCTGGAGACCTTAAAAATATCTTTAATGATTATGGTTTCAAATACAAATTTTCTGAATTAATCTTGGGGGAAATACAAGCTCAGAAGTTAACACTATTTCTACGCCAAAGGCGTCTTCATTTTAAAAAGAATCTTGCTAATAATAAAAGTTAATATTTTTATAATAATTAAAACCACTTAGCAAGTATTTTTATGTGTGCTATGATAGAATTTATAGATTTAGAATCAACTTTTTATTATAAATATGATG